AATTTACGCTGTTACAGTTGGAAGCGACTGTAGAGCTGTGAGAGCTTGTCGAGAAGAGCAGTGTTGCCACCAATGTGTTTTTTTCTTTACAGACTTTTACACTGTTTGACTTGGACCAACGAAAGAATAAAAATATGACCATTGGCTAGCTATGTAATTCTGTTCACTCTTTCGATAAATCATATAGTTTTTAGTAATACGTTTGTTCCAACTTGGCCTGATCTCTTGTACAACATGCGTTCGTGTTAGTACATTCCTGTGGACTTTAAAGGACAAAACCACATACACCAGATTCTCTTGGCTTGATCGGTTTTTGGAGCTTGCAGACCAGGCAATTCTTATCTTATCCGAACACCAGCGCTGGCCAAATACCGCAAAAAACTTAAAGATCAGTAACATAATTCTTGCTGTTCTGTTTGCTATATAACAACCAAAGAATTGCCACGCAAGAAAAGCTCCGTGACTGGAGACAAGAATCTACTCCAGATGAAATTAAACAGATCACAAACAATCGTTTTATCCTAATTAGGATTTAGGAGGATCTTACATCATTCAAACAAAACCTTCCGAATTATGATGTTGATAGACTTTTGGCATGACTACGGATATCTAAGTTTTTCCAGCAGCGGCCATTGGCCCAGCTCCAGCCGCTTTGGAATACCAGCATTTCGGGCAGTCATGACAACCATTGTAATACCAGTACCACCCTCTCTGGCAGCGCTGGGCAGCAACCTTTCCTCCCCCTTCCACTCCCATGGCCAGCATCATCACAAACATGGCAACAAGCCCAAGGCAAACCAACTGACTCTTCCTCATCGCTGGACCGCTATTGCAAGCGAAAAGAACAAGAAACCAAATAAGCATTAGAGAGCTTCTTCGAAGATCTTCTGAGCACTGAATCTGTTAGAAGAGAGATTGTGGAAACCTCTCCTGAGAGGGGTATCTATATACTCACCTTGCGACGAAGCAAGTTTCCACGTGCATTGTTTGTGGGTAACTTTGTGGCTCATCGGTTGGTCTTGGGAAGGATCAGATTTATTGACAATTTGGTTTTCTAATACGCTTTTCGTCGTTCCACATCGACTTAATAGTATACACTCATATATCTCTATAATATAATGTTAATTTCATTATTAATGCTATTTTAATGTTATATAATTCTGGTTAGATTTATCAGGCAATAGTTGCTCGAGTATATAGACACCCTCAGCTCTTATTGTCGATTTAATATATGATATTAATGAAAATTTGGCTGGAGTGTTTGGAATCACTTCTACCACGTGGTCGATCAATTTGCGATCAGCCAGTAGCATCGATTGTCTCACCTCGAGGCATGAGTCATCCTGCTACTTGCGTGATTATCTGTGGCACCGAATCGAAAAGAAAGAGGTCCTCCGACTATCTCGAACCTGATGTTGCTCGATAATGCGTTCGTAGCCGCCTTCATCATGCGAGTTACTTCCAGCTGCAAATCATGTGGTTGTCTCATAACATGGGTTCCATTCCCAACACGAAGATGAGCCATTGATCCAAAAAGCTTAATTTTCTAGTTTGTAAACCAAGAAGAAAGGTTGCTAGACGATGAGGAAGTATTGCCACGGGAGCTCAAAACTCTCGAGATGAAGCAAAAAAGAAAAAAAAGAAAGAAAAAGACAAAAAAAAATTTTATTTGTTCCACACAAACATGTTACCGTCCGGTGTCTTTTATTCTTATTTCCAGACCCTGGCAATGCACTCATAGAGATTACGAGTTGAATTGAGAATTGCGCTTACCCTTAAAAGCAGAGGCTTCAGTTTCTCCAGCAGCGATTGTTGCGCCAGCTCGAACCCCTCGGGCAACGGTGGCAACCATTGTCATACCAATACCACCCCGACTGGCAGCGCTGGGCAGCAGCGTTTGCGATTCCTCCCACGTCCACTCCCATTACCAGGAGCAACACAAACATGGCAACAAGCCCAAGGCAAGCCAGACGAATTTTGTCCATCGCTATTGCTGCCACTCTAAGAGTAAAACCTGTGGATTATAAGAGAAGTGAAAGTGTGGTGATTTCGTCTTGATCGAGTGAGGCGCGTTATATATACGCCCCTTGCAACGACCGAGCAATCGTGTTAGCTAGACTTAGTCTGGAAAAGAGATCAGATTCAAATCTGCCTCCTGGGTACTACCTCCTGGGTGCTACTGTGTACACGTCAAGACTTAGATAAGTCCGAATTGTAGCTGGACCAGATCCTACCTCTGAACACACTGCTACTGCAAGTAAAAAGAACAACGAGTCTTTGCGGATCCTCTGGATAGAAGAGGGAGTCTCTCTATAACAACCGAGAAAGTTTCCTCGTGGTTTTTTGGCAGCGGTTGACGCGCGGATTTTACTTGGAGACTTGGTCTTGGGAAGGATCAAATTCGTTGACAACTTGGTTTCCTAAGTACGACGAGGTAATATGGAAAAAAAGCTTTCCAATCTTGTTTTCTTCCTTCTCGATTTGACGAAGTCTGTTAATATTATGGTCGTATATTATATTTACTTTAACAAAAGATTGGATCTAATCGATCACTGGGACGCAGATCGAGAGCATACCTTTGTTTCCAACACTCTTTGAATTAAAAGTCTCTCGTGGCAAACCAACTTCTCCATTACCTCCGCGACTTGACCTATAATACTTGGAGCAGAAAGAAGAAATATTGATAAGAATATGATTCTTCTGTTCACTCTTTCAATGAATCATACAATTTTTAGTAGTTTTATGTTTGTTCCAACACAACTTGACCTGATCTCTGGTACAACATGCGTTCGTATCCACTATATTATGAGCTTCTAGTACATTATTTAGTTAGGACAAAGCCACATACTCTTGAAATTATTGCTTTTTCTTGGCTTGATCGGGTTGGGTTTTGGAGCTTGCAGATCAGGCGCCGGCCAAAAACCGCCAAACAATAAAATACTGGTATAGATCTACTAGAACTATTGATGCCGTAAACTGGTATTTGTGTTTACGGCATCAATTATTCTTGCTATTCAGTTTGCTACATAACAACACCAACATGACAAAAGGAGAGAAACAACCGCCACCCAAGAAAAGCTGAATGACCTGATCACACAAAAAACATTTTTACATTGGATGAATTTTTTTTTTAATTCTAATACACAAGATCTAAAACAACAGCATAGATATTCAGAAGATCCTGGTGAACATGAAAAACCTTACGAGTTATGCTGTTAATTCTTGTGCTTATCCATGATCCCGGAGATCTCTGTTTTTCCAGCAGGGGCGCTCTGGCATCAGTGGCAACTTCCGCCATACCAATACCAGCTTTTTGGGCACCGGTGACAACCATTGCCATACCAGTACCACTGGCAGCGCTTGGCAGCAACCTTTGCGATTCCTCGCATGTCCACTCCCATGGCCACAAACATGGCAACAAGCCCAAGGCAAACCAGTTGAGTCTTGCTTTGCTATATAGTCGAAAAGAACAAGAATCCAAGATCATCTGAAAGGAAACTTGTATTGATTGATTATGGTTTTTTGTTCTTTTCTCTTGCAGAGTGGCAGCAATGGCGATGGACAAGTGCTCCTGGTAATGGGAGTGGATCACAAACGCTGACGTGGGAAGAATCGGAATTTGGTTGTTTCCCAGTGGTTTATTATGACAATGGCTGCCACCGTTGCCAGAAAAACTGGCATTAGAATAGTTTGAGCTGCGTAATATATTTTCTCTATTAATCTCTAAAGATTACGCTTGGCTCACGATCAATATAACACTAACAACATTATAATATAGACATGTCTCCAGAGCTAGCTAACCAGTGTAGCTACGACAGACTTTGTCAAGTCGATGTGGAAGGACAAATAGCTTTACTTCCGTATTATCGAGAGTACTATGTATTTAGAAAACCAAATTAAGACCAAGTCTAGCAAACGGCAAAGTTATCTGCAAACAATGCTAGCAGAAACTTGTTAACATCACCCAAAAGCCTTTAAAGGGCAGTAATATAGGTATAAATACACTTTTAATTGTGGCTGACAACTTTCCAGAAAACAGACCATATTTATCATTGATAGTCTCAGAGCCTGAACATCGGAATAGATTTCACACAAGATTCTATAGGACTCCAAAACATTCTCGTTTCGAAGCCACAGTTTTATTCTATGTACTTCTTCACCCATTCGACATTCGCTCCTATGGTTCCAGGCCCCAGAGATCACTCACAAACTTTCATTAATTGACGCAGCGGCTGCCATTCCAGCGCCACCCACGCTGGCATCGATGGCAGCCGTTGTCATACCAGTACCAATTGCATTGCACGCAGCGAGATCCATTCCAGTACCATCCCCTGCGGCAGCGCTGCGCCACCGCCTTGGTGATCCCCCCGACCTCCACTCCCACCGCCAGGAGCATCACAAACATCACAACCAAGGCACACCAATCGAGTCTTGCTGCTTGCCATAGCAATCGGTCAATCGATCGATCGATCGATTGGAATTGGATAAGAGAGGAGCAAACCAAAGCGAAAGAACAAAGGAGCTCTAGAGAGTGTGTGGGGGATTGTAAGAGATGTTTATATAGCGTCGAGAGTGTGTGGATAGATACAAAGACCGCGCGGTTCCAGGCCAAAGTCTTTCATTACAATTCGCGCCCACCATTTGAAAGACTCTTGAATTTGTTAAACTCGGTCGCCACTTGGCAAAATCGCCAACGTTGAGTTTTGGACGGTCATGATTGCAGATCTTTTTCTTTGTTTCTTAGACCGATGATCAGGAACGATCAAGCGCAACGCGGGATTGCTATCGCTTGTCAAGCTCCTCTTGTTGAAAGAGTGAGGGAGCGGCGGGATGCTCCTCCGCATGGCCTACAGTTTATCCGTGGAAGGATTGTGGTGCTTGTCTCGCATGAGCTCACTCTCACAGGTATTTCTCTCTTAGTTTTTGTTTCCTTCTTCTTAGACAAGAATGTATTTGGTTGTAGGGGTCCTTTCTGCTCATGGAGCTCGCTGTGCTTCTCAAAACGCTGGCGCCACTGTCCAGTGGATTACTATCGAAGTGATGAAGTTACCGAAAATCTAAGGAATCCTGGTGAATGAATAACATATCTACTCTTGTTCTTGAGTGAATTAATTCTTTTGGTTCCAGAAAAAGGAGAAGAGACTCTCCGCGCAGCGGTTGATTCGGACTTCGTTTTCCTCAACAAGGCCGTTGCAGGGAAGTGGATCGATTCTACGCTCCCAAAGTTCTGTGGTGGATTCCCGGTCACTACTTCACGCTCAATTACGTCAACGTATGCCCGAGGTTGCTGGTTGCTGCAGTGATGATAGACTCTCATGCCATGGCCGAGTATTGGACCAACAGGACACAACAGCATCTTGGGTAAGGAATAGAGCCTTCTTTCGATATCTTACGATATGAAAATGCGTGACAAATCTTTTTAGTTCTCCAGGATAAAGATCCCAAAGGTGCATCTGGGAAATAGCAAACATCTCACGGAAGCAGCGCTCGTCATTTGCTCCGTCAGCATGTAAGAGAATCGCTCGGTATTTCGACCGCGATGTTATGTTCTCCGCGATCAACAGTAAGCTCTACTTAAACTTTTAAGCATGAAAGTCCGAATTTACTTGTATTGCAGGTATTTCCAGAGGCGAAGGCCAGGACCTCTTTCTCAAGGCAGGCCGAAAACTCTGGGGTCTAGTGCTGGAATTTACGCTGTTACAGTTGGAAGCGACTGGATCAGGCAGCCAAAGTTTGAAGCGGAACTGCGAGAGCTTGTCGAGAAGAACATTGCCGAACGTGTTGCCACCAATGTGTTTTTTTTACAGACTTTTAAACTGTTTGACTTGGACCAATGAAAGAATATGACTATTGGCTAGCTGTGTAATTCTGTTCATAATTTTTAGTAATATGTTTGTTCCAACTTGGCCTCTCTCGTACAACATGCATTCGTGTCCACTATTCTAGTACGTTCCTTTGGACTTTAAAGGACAAAACCACATAGACCAAACTCTCTTGGCTTGATTGGGTTTTGGAGCTTGCAGACCAGGCAATTCTTATCTTATCCACACACCAGTGCTGGCCAAATACCGCCACAATCTAAAAGATAACATAATTCTTGCTGTTCTGTTTGCTACATAACAACACAGAACTGCCACCCAATAAAAGCTCAGTGCGTAGTGCCTAATCTACTCCAGATGAAATTAAACAGCACAAACACCTTATCGTTTTATTTTAATTAGGACTTAATAATCACAAAACCCTTCAATTGAACCTCTTACAATTATGGCCAACATCACAACAAGCCCAAAGGCAAACCAGCTGTGTCTTGCTAATCACCAATGTCCTCGTGCTTAAACAGCACGTCATTCCCAAACAAAAGTTTGTAGTTGGCTTTACACTTGCTTGTGGCAGCATAGCAATCTGCTGGCTCATTGAGTTGGCGTTCTCCCCCAATCGTGAAATGACAGAGGACTTTGTCTTTGCTTCTCCCCAAAGATCGAATCTAGGTCACCTATGATGGCAAAAAACATCAGAAATCTCACCTGTATTTCTTCATGTTGGTGATGTTATGTCTATAACCTTCATTCGTTCTCAATTCAAGTTATGAAGTGTAACTAGGACCAGATCCCTTCTGCTACTGCAAGTAAAAAGAACAACCTAAGTCTTTAAGATAGATGAACTGTTTATATGAAGGTCATAGGGCATCAGACATGTTTAGTAAATATTTATTTTGGAGTTGAGGTAGTATATAGTCGCCCTTGCAACGACCGAGCAAGTTTCTAGGTGCATTTTTGGCGGACGCACACCGCATTAGACTTGGAGACTTGGTCCTGGGAAGGATCAGATTCGTTGACAAATTGGTTCCGATAATAGTACCACAGATAATGGACAAGTAGCAGGCTTCGAATTCTCTGGCTGCTCGAGAAATCTCTGGACTGGACATCCTGGTACCATAAAAGCTCGGTAAAGAAAATCACATTCCCCAGTGAGAGCCCTCATCACTTTATTCTATTTAGTTTTTTTTTTTGGCAACCAGATTTACCTAATCTCAGTTTCGCCCGCAGTGGCCATTCCGGCTCAAATCATTCTGACATCGACAGCAGCTTCCATACCGATGCCAGTTTTTCTGGAAACGGTGGCAACTATTGTCATACCAATACCGTCCTCTCTGGCAGCGCTGGGCAGCAACCTTTGCAACTCCTCCGCCCACTCCCATGGCCAGCAGCATCATCACAAACATGGCAACAAGCCCAAACCAAATCGCCATAGCAAGCTTAGTGCTTAGAAGCCTAAGTACTGAGAGTGCAAAGAACGAGCTTTGACCTTCTGGATCTGGATGATGTTTAGAAGAAAGTGGGAAACCTCTCTTGAGAGGCGTGTCTATATACTACAACCGAGCAAGCATTATGTCATGCATTATTCTCACGAGGGAATATGCTAAGTCGTTGCCAGCCGTGGCAGGAGCAAAATAATTTATGGGAGCGTCTAAAATCACGGGATGGGTACGCCTCTGATCAAGAGCATGCCTCCCAGGCATCAGTCATCCAGAGAATTCGAAGCCTGCTACTTGCCCATTATCTGTGGCACCGAATCGAAAAGGAAGAGGTCCTCTGACTTTCTTGAAATTCTTCCGGATAATGTTGCTCGAGAAAACGTTCGCTCACGCATTAGGTCGAGAATGCGTTCGTGGCCGGCTTCATTTCGCGAGCTCTCAACTTCTTGAAAGTCCAGCTAGGCAAAGAAAATCACGTTGACTGGTGTGGATTCAATCGCTGGCCTTGTCTCTTAGTTCCATTCCCAACATGAAAAGGCTTAATCTTCGAGTTTGCAAATCAAGAAGAACAAAGTCCAAGCAACACAACAAAAGAAGTAAAAATGCCACCCAAGAGAAGCGCCTGGAGTCAAAATCAAGTAAACTCTCGAAATGAAGCTGTGAATCTAAATGAAAAATACAGAGAACAGATCTTTGACTTTCAGCAAGGCCTGGACAACTTATATATATCATTGCTGGACGCAAGGTCATGCATGCATCACAAGTTCCAGACCCTGGCACTGCAGCATGATCAAAGGCAATTACTGTTGATTCTTAAGTTTGCTTCAAGGTTTCAGTTGCGCCAGCTCCAACCTCTCTGGCAACGGTGTTGTCATACCAATACCACCCCTTTGGCAGCGTTGGGCCGCATGCTTGCGATGAGCCCAAGGCCAGCCACACGAATCTTGTCCATCCCCATCGCTATAGACTTCACCGCCACTGAATGAACAAGAAACAATATCCCAAAGAGTTACAATCATATAACCTGGTGTTGGATCTTGAGAAAAGAAGACACGACCAGGCAACTTATATTGATTCCTGTAGATCAGATTCGATGACAAATTTGTCTGAGTCATATGGAATAGATTTTCCAAAGTTCCACGAACAAATTAGTAATATATATATATAAAATTTAATATTGTAAATTTGACTTGAGTCTCAACCAAAGACTTGGAACTCTTGTGTGTACACTCACTATAATGGTACCAAAAGCCAGGCGCTTTACTCCAGATTTCTGTAACCAGGTTCTCTGCTTCAATCTCAATAGTTGGCATTCTTTGTTTATTAGCATATATCTATATATATTTTTTGTCATTCTGTGCACAGCTATTTAGTGTTTTTTGGCTGCCCATATATTAAAAATCCATACATTGCGAACGTTACACAGCAACAAAACCTTTCCCGAAAACACTCCATTATTATCATTGACAGTCTCAGGGCCTGTACATCTCAAAAACTTGAATAGATCTCACACAAGATTCTACAGGACTCCAAAACATTCTCGTTTCGAAGCCACACTCTTATTCTATGACTTGCTCTCCCCCGAGATATCACTCACAAACTTTGGCGATTCTTCAGCGGCTGCAGCGGCTGCCATTCCAGCGCCACCCGCGCTGGCATCGATGGCAGCTGTTGTCATACCAGTACCAATTGCATTGCACGCAGCGGAATCCATTCCAGTACCATCCTCCACGGCAGCGCTGCGCCACCGCCTTGGTGATCCCCCCGACCTCCACTCCCACCGCCAGGAGCATCACAAACATCACAACCAGGCCTAGGCACACCAATCGAGTCTTGCTGCTTGCCATGATCAATCGATTGATTGGAAGCCTATGGAGAAAAGAGGAGAAGGAGCAAACCAAAGCGAAGGAACTTGAAAGGAGCTCTAGAGAGTGTGCGTGGAAGGATTGTGAGAGATGGGGTATTTATATAGCGTGGAGGTGTGTGGATAGATATAAAGACCGCGCGATTCGAGCCCAAAGTCTTCCATTTCCATTCGTATTGACGCGCCAGCCAAAGGTTTAAATTTTTAAATCTTATACCGCGGTCGCCACTTGGCGTAATCGCCAACGTTGAGTTTTGGACGGTCGGGATTGCAGATCTTTTTTCTTTGTTCTTTAGGGCGAGAGTGATCGATGATCGGGAATGGGAGGAGCGATTCCGGGCAAGCGCAAGGCGGGATTGCGCTCGCTGCTCAAGCTCGGCGTTGCGGCATTTGGATTTCTCGCCGGGATAGGGCTCTTGGTGGGGAGCTACAGTGTGAGGCATCCGGCTGCTGGGATTTCTGGCGTTGATCGCCGCGATGCTCCTCCGCATGGCCTGCATTTTATGCGGGGAAAGAATGTGGTGCTTGTCTCTCACGAGCTCACCCTCACAGGTATTTCTCTCTTAGCTTTCTCTTCCCGTCTTCATTGGATTTGTTTGTAGGGGGTCCTTTGTTGCTCATGGAGCTCGCTGTGCTTCTCAAAAACGCTGGCGCCACTGTCCAGTGGATGACTATCAACAAAAGAGATGGTGCTGGGAGTGAAGTTACTGACAATCTCGAGCAGAGATTACAAAACAAAGGAATCCTGGTGAGTGAGTGAACTTCTTACTTGATTCTTCTCTTGTTCTTGAGTGAATTGATTCTTTGTCAGCTGGTTCCAGCAAAAGGAGAAGAGACTGTCCGCGCAGCGGTTGATTCGGACTTGGTTGTCCTCAACACTGCCGTTGCGGGGAAGTGGATAGATTCGACGCTCAAGGAGTCGGATCAGCAGCGAGTTCTTCCCAAAGTTTTGTGGTGGATTCACGAGATGCGTGGTCACTACTTCACACTCAATTACGTCAAACATATGCCCGAGGTGGCCGCAGTGATGATCGACTCTCATGCCACGGCCGAGTATTGGAAGAACCGGACACAACAGCGTCTCGGGTAAGGAAAAAAAAATAAAAAATCTTCTTTCGATATGAAAGTGTGTGACAAATCGTTTTACTTCTCCAGGATAAAGATCCCAAAGGTCCACGTCGTGCATCTGGGAAATAGCAAAGATCTCACGGAAGCAGCGGAAAATCCTCTCGCTCGTCATTTGCTCCGTCAGCATGTAAGAGAATCGCTCGGTATTTCGGACCGCGATGTTATGTTCTCCGCGATCAACAGTAAGCTCTAGCCAAAGATTTAAAAGTCTTAATTTACTTGTACTGCAGGTGTTTCCAGAGGCAAAGGCCAGGACCTCTTTCTCAAGGCATTCGCTCAGGCCTTGAAAACTCTGGGGTCTAGTACTGGGATTTACGCTGTTATAGTGGGAAGCGACTGGATCGGGCAGCCAAAGTTTGAAGCGGAGCTGCGAGAGCTTGTCGAGAAGAACGGCATGCAGCACGTAGTTCGATTTGTGAACAAGACGATGAATGTGGTTCCATATCTTGCTGCGTCAGACGTTCTCGTCCAAAACTCTCAGGTTAGTCAGTGCAAGAAAGAAGTGTACTCAAACCTTTTGTTTCTTGACGATTGTCCAGGCACGAGGAGAGTGCTTTGGAAGAATTTCAATCGAAGCGATGGCATTCAAGCTTCCCATTCTGGTAGTCTATCGCATCGGCTGTGCGAATGAATCAATCGGCTGATCAACATTTGCCTTCACAGGGTACTGCTGCCGGTGGAACCACGGAGATCGTCGTGGACGGATCCACTGGTTTCCTTCACCAAGTTGGCAAGGAAGGTGTTCCCGACTTAGCCTCCAACATCATCAACCTCTTTCGAGATCCAAAGTTGAGAGCTCGCATGGGTGAAGCCGGCTACAAGCGCGTCCAGGAGCGATTTCTCGAGCAACACATGTCCGAGAGAATAGGAAGAGTTCTCAAGGAAGTGCTGCAGCAGTAGTGACCTCTTCCTTTCGATTCGTGCCGCAGATATTGGACAGCAGCACGTAAGTCGCAGCCTTCTCCGGACTTATGACTGATGCCTGGTTTGCAGCGTGCTTCCCGAGCTGGATATCACGAGAAACTTTGCATGATCCGAGGAGTGTCTGCCACGCCAAGCTGTCGGGGACGAAGGGCATACTCTCGATCAGCTCTCGGGCGTCCTGCTGCTGCCCGGCTCTCGCAAAGAGATCGACCATGCAGTAGAAGTGATTGTCGTCAGGTTGAATCTGATAGTCGGCTCTCATCTGGTAGAAGTTCTGCAGGGCCTCCTCGACCAGCCCGAGGTGGCTACACGCGTGAATGACACACATGAAGACGATGCCATCCGGCCTCTCTCCCTCGAGCTGCATCGACTGGAAGAGCGAGATGGCCGAGCTCTGGTGCCCCGCCAGCGCGTACCCGGCAATGAGGATCGTCCAGGAGAAGAGGTTCCTGCTGGCCATCGCCTCGAAAGTTCTCATCGCGTCGGCGAGGTGGCCGACGTGAGCGTGCGCCGCCACCATCGCGTTCCACGAGAAGATATCCTGGACCGGCATCGTCTGGAACAACGCTCTCGCCTCAGCCACCATCTTGCTCTGTGCGAAGCCCCCCAGCATCGTGTTCCACGAGATCAAGCTGCAGTGGCTCATCCTCTCCAGCACCGAGCTTGCGTCTTCCATCCTTCCACTCCGGACGTAGCCCGCCATGACCGTGTTCCAGGACACCACGCACCGCCCAGGCATTCTCGCGAAGAACACACCAGCTCGGTCCATATCCCCGGCCTCGGCGTGGACTTGGATTACCAGGTTCCAGGAGCACGAATCATACTGCGGGATCTTCAAGAACACTGCTTCGGCGTTGCTGGCGAGACCATTTTGGCTGTAGGCGCCGAGGAGAGAGTTCCAAGCCATGGAGTCGCGCTCGGCCATGGTTTCGAAGAAGAGCTCCTCGCAGTCTCTGATATGCCCGCCTTGGGCATATCCCTGGACCATGGCCGTGGAGGCCACCACATTCTTGGCAGGCATGGCGACGTAGAGCTCCCGCGCGTCGTCCATATGCCCGGCTTGGGCATACGACGCTAGAACGATCGTCCACGCCACTGGGCTTTGCTCTGGCATCTTCTCCAGCAGAGCTCTCGCGTCTTTCAGCCTCTTCGTCTCTGCCAGCGCCGAGAGCATCGTGATGTAGTCGCCCATGTCGCGCTCCGGCTTGGAGTGGAACATGGCGATGGCGAGATCCAGTCGGCCGTGCTCCGCGTAGCCGTTCATGATCGCGACGCGAGAGATCGCGTCGTGCTGCGGCATCTTCCGGAAGAGGAGCTCGGCCTCGCGGATCCGGCCGGAGTGTGCGTAGCCTCCCAGCATCGCGGTCCAGGACACGACGTTGAGCTGCGGGAAGCGGTCGAAGAGGAGCTTGGCTTGGTCGACTCGATCGTTCCTGGCCTGCGCTTGGAGCATCGCGGACCAGCACACCACGTCCTGCTGTGGCATTCGATCGAAGACGCTCTTGGCCTCGTCCGGCTGGCCCGTGTCGACGAAGCCTTGGAGGATCCCTGTCCACGGGACGATGTCTCTCTCGGGCATCTCTAGGAAGGAGCTCCATGCCACCTCCAGGTCCCCGGTTTGGGCGAATGCCAACACCATCACCGTCCACGAGAGAACGTCTCTCTCGGGCATTCTCCCGAAGATATCGGTGGCTTGGGCGAGGTCGTTGTTCCTTGCGCTGGATTGCATGAGCTTGGTCCATGCTAGCAGGCCTCTGGACGGCATGGAGTCGAAGAGGAGCTTGGCTTGATCCAAATCCCCGGACCTGGCAAATGCCGTGAGGAGGATGTCCCAGCAGAAGCTCGACGGTGGCGTTGGAATTCGATCAAACAGCTGCTTGGCGAGATCCAGGGACCCGTTGAGAATGTAAGCGTGGACCATGAAGTTGTAGGAGTAGTCGTTTTGCCTGGGAATCCCGTCGAAGACGAGCTTGGCTTCGTCCAGCTTGCCACACTCGCTGTAAACTCTGATGAGAAGATTGCTGAGGAAGGTGTCGTGCCTGTAGGGGCTCTCCAGCATTTGATTGTGGACGCGCTTGGCCATGGAGACATTTTTCGTGACGCAGCAGCTCCGAAGGAGTTTGGCGAAGTAGTCTTGGGTCTCTCGAGTGGACGTGCAGTAGCTTCTCTTGACTCTCATCTACGTGGTTCTGATAGTGTCGAAAACCAGCCCATCAAAACTTTTTCAACTTTTAGATCAACACATGTACCTGGCGACGAATTTAATAGCCATCTTCTCTGTCGAGCTCTTCTTTGTCACTGCTGTTGGCTGGAAATGTGATGAGGAGGTCCTTGTTGTCACGATAGGCTTGGACAAGAGCAGCAGCTTTATAAGCAAAAAAGCCGAGCAGCATGGGAGCAATCTGATAACAAAAGTCTTTTAGCTTTCACACTGGAAGTAATCGAGGATCATACCTCCAGTTTGAAGGGAAGATCTTGGCCTAACTGAGAAGAGCCCAGCCATACTCCATAAAACGCAACCACCAGTAGCAACCGTGGGGACGATAGAGCAAAACGAATGCCTTGCAAGTTCTTCTCCACGGAGTCTCTGAGGTCATTGCTAGTGAATCCAATCCTGCATGACACAAACTACAGAGTTGTAACAAGAAAACTTTAGACGTCCTTGCTTACGTCTTTCTTCTCTTCCTTTGTGTGAAAATCTGTGGCACCGTCAGTTCCGACGTCTTGTCAACTTGATTAGCAAGCAATTGCAAGTAGACCCAGCTGAAGTACTAGATTGAGTCGAGGAACGTTAAAGATGAGATGAATTTTTTACCTTCCAAACACACCAATTTCATAGCTGACAGCAGTCTGAAAATCACAAAATATCTTAACAGTACGAAAACGAAGGAGATTGACACACCTCGGTTGATAAAAAAGCGAGACAATAGACACCAGTCACGAGTCCAACGCCAAGTGTTACGAGTGAAAGCTCCCGTTTCAACTACAAAAACACACATTACAACAAGTAACAAAAAACCAAAACCAAATGAGAGACATTCTTACTGCTTCGTAATCCAGCAGGCATTTACGACGAAAATCATCTCTTTCCTTCTCAGCTTCCTGAAAGAGAACTTTCAAAGCCTGGATAAATTGGTGACAATGATATACTCACGAGTAGCTTCTGGTTATAATTCGCAGGAGCAGTAGAATCCAGGCCCAAACTCCAATTCTTGGCCTGACTTAACCTTAGAAATCCACCACCCTCGGAAGAATCATCGTCCATCTTTGAAAGGAAAAAAATCAGAGGACAGCACGTCATAGAGAGGAGCACTTGCCTTTTGTTTCTCTGCAAGACGAGTCCTGATTTGTTCCAGCTTGGCCTCATCCTCTTCCTGGAGCTCCTTCTTCCACAATATATCCGACGCTCTGGAAATAAAATCCACATTCCCTCTGCGGCTGCGCAAGAATGCCTCAAAGAATTCCTGCGCTGAGAGCCTATCTGCTGGAATCCACGCCAGATCAATCTCGGCAGCGAGAGAAAAAATTCCCACAATGCAGGTACCTGGCGGCTGCTGCTGCGCAATCGCTGCCACGGGAATCGTCCCTCTTCTCCTTCGAGCTGGAAATCGCAGCCGAGAGCACGAGAAATTGGGGCACAACGACGCCATGGTCTCCCAAGAGCCCTAGAATTTGCCCAGACGCTTTGCCGCCTAATAGTGCTTGTGCGTTTGTGGTGGATTTTCGCCGCCATCGGGGCCGTCCATCTCGTCGCCTCGCGACCGGAATCGGAATCCATCGGTTGGCATATTCCGGAATGGAATGGCGGTGTCGCGACGGATCTATGGCGGGTAATGGCGGGCATTTGCTGCTTTGAAGCCTCGCATTTGCATGGCCCTGGCTATGGCTGTCAAGAGCAAGGCGCCCGACGCCGTGAAGCTCTTTGTAGGTCAGATTCCCAAGCATTTGACGCAGGAGGAGCTCCTTCCAATCTTTGAGGAGGCGGGAGCCGTGTTTGACATCAACATCATCAAGGACAAGTCCACCAAGCAATCGCGAGGTAAAATCTCTAGCCTAGGAGCTAGTGTCATGCTAGAAATTCTTGTTTAGCTTCGAGAGCTTTGTCTCGTTTGTTTCATCGCATTTGGGAATCTTTTCTCTATCTTTTGCTGTGTTTTGGCTGAGATCTTATCGATTTTTCTTCTTCTTCCAGGCTGCTGCTTCCTTACTTACAGCTCGAGATCTGAGGCTGACAATGCCATTGATTTGTTCCACAACAAGAAAACCATCTCTCCGGTAATGGATTTTTTTTCTTTCTTTCTTGTCCGGTTTTTAAGTCGATTTCCAGATTTTGGTCGAGTAGATGAACAGTCCGATGCAAGTAAAATATGCTGACGGCGAGCTGGAGCGTTTAGGTACTGTTTTTTTTTTTTTCCCGCTCGTACTTTTCTTCCACACTTGACTTATAGTTCTGGACTTCTCAGAGCACAAACTCTTCATTGGAATGCTACCAAAATCCGTCACGGAGGCCGAAGTCCGTGATGTGTTCTCGGAGTATGGAAACATCAAGGAGCTACAAGTCATCAAAGGTTCCCAGCAAACTGCTAAAGGCAAGTTTTACTCGTGCTCTTGGGACTTTAGCTGATATGATCGTTGCTTTTCGATTCCCAGCTTGCGCGTTTTTGAAGTATGAGACGAGGGAGGAGGCCGCCGGTGCTGTGGAGGCCTTGAACGGAATTTACAGAATGGAGGTAGCTTGAGAAGTTGTCGTGATGGTATATTATATTCAGCGCTTTCAGGGTGCGTCTTCTGCCTTGGTGGTGAAATGGGCCGACACGGAGAAAGAAAGGCAAGCTCGAAAGATGCAAAAGTCTCAAACGCTATCTCCTGCAACGAACGGTGCTTTGGCCGCTCCTTTGCCAGGCCAGCAACCTGCGTCTGCGTCATTCGGACCACTTCCATTGGCGACACCTCAGTTTAATGGATTTGCGTATCAGGTTTGTGTCCATTCATATATTCTCTACGTTTCACAATCCACCTACAGGCTTCAACATACGGGATTGTTCCTTACCCAGCCTCTAGCCTTCAGAACCAGCCACTAATCTCTGGAATGACAACAGGAACCACTCAACCTCTACCAGGAACACTCTCCGACATAGGATCGGGGGTTTTGACTCCTGTTCAGCCTGCTGGATATGTAAACAGTGCTTTCTCCAACGTTGCTGGACGACAATATCCATTAGCATATCAAGGAGCTTTGCTGGGACAAGCATATGCGGGTGCCACTACTACAGCCGTTGTCGGCTATAACTCCACTCCAGTCGCTCCAAAAGCTAAAGCCAGCATTACTCCTCAAGCTGAAGGTACTTTTCTCGGCTTGTTGTTTGTTTTTGTTTTTCTAGAGTTCCAAATTGTTTTCTCTGTTTTTTTGTTTTCCAGGTCCACCGGGGGCAAATCTGTTTATCTACCACATTCCTGCCGAGTTTGGTGATTCAGAACTCTCCACAGCATTTGCGTCTTTTGGAAACGTTATCAGCGCCAAAGTATTTGTCGACAAAACGACCGGAATCAGCAAGTGTTTTGGTAATGAGCCTTGCTCTTCGCTGCGATGTTTACTAAATCCTCCCTGTGCGTCCTTTGTAGGATTCGTCAGCTATGACTCGCCAGAGGCTGCTCAATCAGCCATCAATGTCATGAACGGGTTTCAATTAAGTGGAAAGCGGCTGAAAGTTCAGCTCAAGCGAGACAACAAACCAAACAAGCCATATTGAGAAAAAAGTTTGTGAAGGTAAGCGAAAGGTAAGCAAATAACAGACAGAAGCTGGCTGACTCGCAGTTCTTTGTTTTGCAGTGGTTTGTTGATTGACAGTCACACCAAGTTTGGCTGACAAGAACCCGACTATCAGCTAAGGTGGGCAGTGTTTTGTATCCTGTGAGCAAATTATCGTTGCAATCCCTTGACTTGTATCATACCAGCATTTAGTTTGCTTGGCAAACTGCATTGTCTTGTGCTATTGCTGTAATCGCTTCAATTGGAGTTTTATCTATTTCGTGCGTGTCCTGTTTTTGTTGACTTTGTGTCCCAAGTTTTTCTTTTCTCTTTTCCTAGTTTTGTCATTGCAGCGACAGTGTTGTTCATGAAGATTTTGTAGTGACAATCGCCAAAGGCTCGACTTCGTAAGCATTGTCTTGGTTTTTCTAGTGTGATGCGGGCTCTCGGATTTGTTTCAGGTGTGCGCTGGCCCAGTGCTGTTTTCCTGGTTTCTGGAATTTTGCCGCTCTCACAGCTCCGCATTCTAACGAGTTTTTCCAATCCCTGCAGGAAAATCCTTGATGATAAGTTTTGGGTGGAGATGATGGTATCCTCGTTTATGAGGTGATTTGACAAAAACAAACAGGTACTCTTTCTAATGCTACTCCATTAATCTCAGCTTTACTCTTTCTTTCCAGTCTTTGGTCTTACACGACTGCTACCAAAATCTCCGCGTTGTCAAGAACAGATCTTAGCTCAACTCATCACGAGAAATGGTAAACAAAACTAGCGTTTTTTCTTTTCTGGAATTTTGCCGCTCTCACAGCTCCACATTCTAACGAGCTTTTGCAATCCCTTGGGTGGAGAGGAACTAATCCTCCTTTGTGAGGTGATTCTCTAATGCTACTCCATTTCACTCTTTCTTTCCAGTCTTTGGTCTTACACGACTGCTACCAAAATCTCCGCGTTGTCAAGAACAGATCTTAGCTCAACTCATCACGAGAAATGGTAAACAAAACTAGTGTTTTTCTTTCTGTTCTGGAATTTTGCCGCTCTCACAGCTCCACATTCTAACGGGCTTTTGCAATCCCTGTAGGATAAGTTTTGGGCGGAGAGGAACTTATCCTCGTTTGTACGAGATTTGACAAGAACAAACAGGTTCTCTCTAATGCTACTCCATTACTCAGCTTTACTCTTTCTTTCCAGTCTCTGATCTTACACGACTGCTCCGCGTTGTCAAGGACAGATCTTAGCTCAACTCATCACGAGAAATGGTAAGCTAGCGTTTTTTTTTTTGTTTCGTTCGCTCGTGAAACACTCTTATGAACGAAAAAAAACAAGGACACTCCATCCATCGAATTTAATGAGAGTTCCTCGTTGACAGGAGATCACTGGGGAAACTCCCATTAGTTTGGAGCTTCTCTCCAATCTTAACGAATTTTAACGCTCCAAGACTACCGTTGTGTGGCGTTTTTGCTTGACCGGATTCGAACCGGCGACTCTTTAATGTCAATAGAGGCCAACGGCTCCTTCTCGGCTGGCCTGGTCTACACGGTGGAAGCTCGTAAGATACGAGGGTTTCTTGGTTTTTCTAGAAGAGAGCTTTCTCTCGCCAATCTTCCTAGATCTCTGGAGGAGCTCATTCATCGCGCGTGCCAGCGACCGATTCAACGCTGCTGTCAAGGCGGCTTGCGGCTTAGGGTTTTCGATGATCGATGCGGGGCGGGAGATAGATTTCGCCTCGCCAAGGGGTTTCTAGCAGGGATTGATGGACAGGGACAGGGTCTGGGCGATATTTCTCGTCGCCGTGGTTCTATCGATCGCTCACGCGGCAGCGGCTTCGATCGGCAAAGGATGTGATGCTAGAGCAGTGAATTGCGAGGCCACGGTTGCCGAGGGAGTTTCGCTGCGCTGGAATTTCCTAAGAACAGTCGAGGTATGTGTTCCCGAGATATAATAATTGTCTTCCTTGTTCTTAGTCTCTCTCTAGAGAATGCGCGTTTGATCTGCTCTTTCTTGCCAGGTCAATCGAAGGCTCAAAGTCCCATTCATTAGATGGCCTTTCGGAGAAGACGATGCGGTCTCGCCAGCTCCAGCTCCATCCCCAAGTGGTGACGGCTTAGACGAAGCCAGCATTCCAGGCCGTGTACCTCCGTCGGCTCCAGCTATGCCAGGTACTCGATCGTTCTCACAGGCAAGTCCTCCCAACTCTGTGACAAGCCTCGCAAGCTCGTCCAGCCCTTCGCGTGCTACGGCAGTGGCCGTGGCAGTTCCCATTACGGTGGTGGCTACGTTGATCGTGGTGGGAGTTTTGTTCTTCTGCTACCGCAAGTTTAGAACGCCCAAGCTGGTCCCGGATGAGAACAGCCACAGCAACGAGAAGGACGTGAATCCGCTGATCCCACCAAAGGGTCTGTACTGGAGCGAGAATTCGGACGAGGGAGCTCGTCGGCCACCTCCGCATCACCGGCTTCCTCCAGTTCCGTCGCAGGGAAATCAGTTTGATGCTTCCGGACTGTCCACGCCTACGTCGGTGTCGGTGCTACGTGCTTCACACTCGGTTCCACCAGCGAAGACAGCGGTCCTTCCGCCACCTCCGTCTCACTATCGCCCGAAAGCTGGAACTCGGTTTTCTAGAGACTATGATCTGGATCAACCCGGGGAACGAGAGCAAGCCGGTGCTCGATCTAATTCGAGATACAGTGATTTGGCAGACGAAGAAGGGACTACGGCTGGTGTTTCGAAAGCGGAGCAAGCAATGCACGCATTGCCGGCTCAAGTATCAAACAGGCGATCGTCTGCTGCTAGATACGATCAAGTGACAAAAAGCCGGGAAGGAATGCAGGCTTTCTTACCGCCGGCGGCGCCTCCTCCTCCTCTACCCGTGCCGCCACCACGAGGACCTCCGCCAGGACCGTCACCTCCGCCTCCACCACCACCGGGGCCGCTACAACCACGTCCAGGGCCTCCACGTCCAGCACCACCGCCGCCACCTCCACCACCTGGACCACGTCCATCACCACCACCACCACCTCCACCTCCTGGACCACGTCCATCACCACCACCACCACCGCCACCTCCTGGCCCGCGTCCACCACCACCACAACCACCACCGCCACCACCTGGCCCGCGTCCGTCGCCACCACCACCACCGCCACCTCCTGGCCCGCGTCCATCACCACCACCACCGCCACCACCTGGGCCGCGTCCGTCGCCACCACCACCACCTCCAGGGCCACCTCGGCCACCTCCACCACCAGGCTCGAGAGCTCCGCCGCCACCTCCACCGGGTCCAAGGCCTCCGGGGCCGCCACCACCACCCGGTCCGCCGCCGCCGCCAGGTTTGAGAGGCCCTCCACCGCCTCCAGGTCCGCCAGGTGCGCCGCCTCCTGGCCCTCCTGCATTTGGCAAGCCAAAGCTTACGGTTGGGACATCCTCACCTTCAGAGGCCAAGACAGCTCAGAAGTTGAAACCACTTTTCTGGGACAAGATCAAGGCCAATCCAGATCACTCCATGGTGTGGAACAACATCAGTGGCTCGTTTGAGTAAGTAGACGCGCAGTGTTTTCGTTGTTGCTGTTATCTGACCGTTGGAATTGTACAACAGAGTTGACGAAGAGATGATGGAGTCTCTGTTTGGCCTCGCTGCACCGCCTGCTGGTGGCAAGCTGGCAGGAGCTTCTCGTGCGCCGGCTCAACCAAAGAAAGAACAGCTTATTGACGCAAGGAAAGCTCATACCATGGCAATTCAGCTTCGTGCTCTAGGATTAAGAAAAGAAGAAGTAAAAGACGCATTGTTGGAAGGTTTGTGTTTTTCTTTTTCCTAGTTGCATTTATATTATGAAAGACTAATGCTCTTTTGGCAACAGGTGACGGCCTTTCTGTCGAATCACTGGAGGCATTGACGAAGATGGCACCCACCGATGAAGAGGAACGCAGGTTGCGGAATTTCAAGGGAAACTTTGCCGAATTGACCTTGGCGGAGCAATTCCTTTTGCGCATTATTGAAGTTCCTTTCGCATTCCAACGGCTTCAAAGTATGCTGTTCAAAGAGCAGTTTGAGGACGAGCTCTTGCAAGTCGAGGATTCTCTAAAGATTTTCAAGGTACGTTTGTTTTTTCTCTTTCTCATTGTAATAACAATCTTCGTCTCTTACAGACTGCATGCGTTGAGCTCAAAGGCAGCCCGTCCTTGAAGAAGCTACTACAAGTCGTCCTGAGAATTGGCAACCGGATGAACGTGGGAACTTTCAGGGGCGATGCCCAGGCTTTCAAGCTCAACTCGCTCCTGAAGCTCTCGGACGTCAAAAGCGTCGATGGCAAGACCTCATTACTCCATTTCATCGTCCAGGAGGTAGTCCGGGCGGAGAACGCACAGGCCCGCAAGTCTCCCACCGCGCAAAGCCCGGCTCGCACATCCTCCTTCATGCTCGACAACAAACAGGTGGAGCTCGACAAAGCCGGGCGACAGGACATGCAAGACGACTTGAAACAGATTGGCACGCAAGTCATCCTGGGGATCAACGCGGAGCTGGAGAACGTCCGGAAGGCAGATGGGCAGGATTTCGACACGCTCAAGAACTCCGTGTTCAAGCTGGTTACTGGGCTCCAAAGCCTCGAGAAGAGCCTGGCGGCGTTGCGAGGCACGGCACCATCGTCGCGGGAGAAGGGAGAGGAGGAAGAGGAGGAGGACGTGTTCCTGGACGTGATGACCAAGTTTATGTCACGGTCCGTGAGCAGCGTGGAGAGGGTCAAGCAGGAGTATGACACGGTGCTGGTGGCGGTGAAGAAGCTCAACGTCTACTTCGATGGCGATGCCAAGAAGGACGACGCCACCGCGTTCCAGATCTTCCACATCGTCAGCCAGTTCATCATGATGCTGGAGCGAGCGTGCGCGGACACATTCGGCAAGAAGAAATGAGCGAGCCAAGCAAGATCATCGATATCTTTCTTCGAGCGAGCCCAGCAAGGTCATCTATAGGTTTCTTCGCGCCGAGCAAGATCATCTATATCTTTCTTCGTACGGTGGAAGCTTGGGATCGCTTCCGAGCGAGCGAAGAGGATCGACGAAACCACCATCGACGTGATCACCCGATCCTTGAGGACAAACTCTCGTCATTCTCGCCTGATTCATTTGAAGATCACCCAAGAACCACTGGTCAAGCTCCCTGGACCGGCTCTCGTTGACCTTTGACCGATATATACTTCTATATTATGTGAAGAGAGAATTTTCAAGCTCTTAAGCGAGGAAGAGTGATGAAGTAGTGGCGTTTGGGCTTGAGAATTCCTGGATGTTGGCCACGGCCGGGAAGCTCTTAGTGGCGATGGAGGTGATGGCCGCCACTAGCGCCACCACTAGCGCCACCACGACGCAAAAACAAGTCACCATTGTGAGCAGCACGTAAAGATATGCTCGCCAGGCTTTATCTTTGCCGCTGTTCTTGTGGAGTGAGTGTGCCTCGGCCATCACTGTGGAGATTGTAGCCATGCTATCTACGAATCCTCCCTGGAAAGCGTCCACTGTTGCTACTAGCACGATCGCTGCTGGGTCCTGGAAAAACAAGAAAGTGAGTCGCACACATTTTAGCAGCGAATATAGGAAGACATCACACCGCCGTGTCCGTGGCGGGGGAGAACTTCCCAGTGTACTGCAAAAGAGCGCGTGAGGACGTACCGTTATCTTTACGAGAAGGAGTCCTGGCGTGGCGAGCGAGGATAAGAGATTAGCGAGCAAAGTTCCCAAAGGAAAGAGCTCTAGCTTGCAATGATCGTTGAGCTTCACGGAGAGCGCGTGCCTTGTCCATGCTCCCAGTGGCGCGACGAGGCAGGCGAGCCAGAGTTTTCTTCTTGGGTGATCGAGCACGGCCAGGACTGCGACGAGAAGCCACAGAGAAGTGGCGGCCACGAACTTGCTGGGCTCTGCAAAAATCTTCTTCTTCTTCTCCTTCTCGGGAGACGATCCAAATGCGTCGTGGAACATGAGACCGGTGTCGAGGCCGATCTTGTAAGAGATGTAAGCGAGCTCGAGACCTGCATTACATATGTGCACACATGGTTTGCAGTGCTCAAGAGTCTTTCCATGAGCTTGATAGCAGTGTTACCTGTGATGAAACTCGAGAGGGCGAAGAACCAGTTCCCGTTGAGAGCGCTGGTAGCCATAGCTTGGTTCCAAAACGCAAGACTGGTTACACTGTCAAACACGACTTGGAGAGATGTGTTGCTGTTGGTGAAGAATCCAACCAGGAAGCAGCCCAGCTGAGGATCAAAGCCAGATACCATGGATCATAGAGAAGCTCTTATACCGACTTAAGTTACCATGTTGGCTGGGATTTGTCTGAAGGGAGCCTCCAGCTGGGAAGAGAGTGCTTGGTATAACCCATTCTTGATCGCTACCTGAAAGAGCAAGTCTGAGAATGGTGTCTAACTAGCACTAGCGATCGAGAGAGAGAGAGAGAGAGAGAGCTACTGGGCTTCTGGGTGAGATAAGAGAAGGGAGAAAGATACCCCAAAGACTCCAGAAACGATGGAGACGAAGAAGTAGTTTACTTGAGTGATCTACATAAGAACAAAGTTAGATCAGAAGAAAGAGATTGCCGCTGGGAGAAGAACTCACCTGGTGTTGGTCTTGTTCCATCTTCTTCCACACTCCAGGGAAGAGCAGCCGGACCGGCTTATCCGGTGGAGTAAGGAGCTAGTGGAGGAGTCAGCTATAAAAGAGAAAAATCGTTTTTTAAAAAAAAAATGAAAAACAGCAATTGCTAATGTCTTCCTTGAATGCTTTAAGGCTTGGGGCAAGACAGAATCTGTGGGTGGTCCGGCATCTCCCTTTTGCTGGGTGGGGATCACTCAATGGGTACTACTTCTTTATTCGTACTGTAAATGCGAAGATTGATATATCACCCGAGAAAAGATATGCAAATCCAGTGGCAGTGTCAGTGCTTGGATCGTTCATTTGAGGCTATTTGCACTCACATTGTGTTGTTGTGATCATGCCAAGTTAGCTTGAGAATGTCAACCTGGAAGTTCAAGCGATTAGCAACCTAGAAAAGCTTAAAAGTTGGATCTTTGTTAGAATCTCTTTCGTACAATAACGAGGTGGGTGAGAATTGACACCATTATGGAAGTTTGTTGACCACATTATAATGAATAGTATGCTTGTGGTTTTCACATCATGTTCACCAAGAAGCAAAAAAGCTGGGAAAGGTAAAAACAGTCCAAGATGTAACTTGTAGTGGAGAGTAGCCATGTGGTTGCTAAAGTATAGGTAATAATGCTTGAGGAATCCAAAGTGTTGAAATACTGTCTTCTACTTATTTTTCACCTTTGGAAGGCACAATCCTCTTTATAGCTGCTGGAAGGAACGAGCACCACTCCAGCAGCCAAGCTGAAAATGCCTATCTAGGAATTTGTGGTTAGAATTAAGGATAATTTTGCTGTAACACTTATTTTAGAATTTTTGGTTTGCTCAAGAAAACCTATAAGGGGACTGAATTAGTAGTGAATATACCTAGAATGTGCTTGGATATTCTAGGATATTCTACCATCTAACGGTTATTATTTATTTAGATTAATCTTGTATTTATAATTTATAAACATGTTTATAATTTATAAAAGTTCTTAAACCTTTTTTAGTATATTATTTTTTGTCCTATCATCTAATGGTTGATATGCAATAAGATTAATCTTGTATTTATAAATTATTATAATTATAAACTTTATTTGATCAATTAGATTAATAAGTAATAATAAAACTATCATTAAGAAAACCAAGTGTTGCTACATGCAACACATAGCAATTTATTATATTACCCAAAAACCTTTTTGCATCAATATTTACCCTTAAATACTCAGTAAGCTTTCAACAATTGTGCTAAAGAATTCACATAAAAGATTCCTTCAGCCATAAATTCTACCTATAGAACAATCTTCTCTCCAGTCCAGAATGAAAGTCCATGATGAGAATTGAGAGAGCATGAGAGGTGACTGTGACTGGAGAGAGAGAGAGCTCAAATTACTAATGACTCTCTTATATTTATATATATTTATTGTCACATGTTTGTTATTTATCTCTATTTATTAAGTCATATATTTACCACTATGACCACAACCTTAAACCTCTATTAATGGGACTAAAACTCAAGACCTACTATGCACATCTATAGGCATCTAGAATTAGCATGCACCCATATTTAAATTAACTATTTAGATTAGGTTGGGGTTGACCAAATTAGTTTCTAGTGCCCCTATAAAAGTCAGAATTTGTACTTAAAAGTGTCAATATAGACTAATATTTTGTTAAAATTATTTTAGTATTTTATTAGTAGTTTTGTTGTAATGAGCTCCAGATAATTTGAACATTTTGATATCAATAGCTTCCCCAAATCATCTTCTACAACTCTATTTGAATTTTGATACTTTAAGGAAGTCATATCAAACATTAGAGCAATCCAATATAACACGTCACTTGCAAATTATTTAGCACTAATAGCATTCCAAGCCAAAGATTTGGTATACTAACAAAGTTCGATAGTGTAGCGCACATGAATTTGGAGCCGAGCTCCAAGCCCGTTGCGCTACGAAACAAGGGTCCGGTACAATCCCACAAGCACCAGCTCTCTGTATCCAACACTTGCACGCAAAATGGTGTCAGACGGAGTCTGGCACAATTTTGGCATACCGGTGGCCTAATGCGAGGAGGAGGGTACTTCACCGACTAAAGCAGTGTGGAGCTTGGGCTTAGACCCAAGCCGGACGCAGAACAAGGAGTGACACAGCCTAGCGGGAGCCAAACTAATGTCTCAGGTGGTTGAACATGCATTCCAACCACTATCCTTACTATACCCCCCCCCCCCCCCCCTATGAGGAACACACGCTTTGGGCTTTCACCCCAAGCCTCCCTTAGTACCAGGAGTTAGTCTCTAGGACAAGCTAGAAACTTACTAAATATGGAATGTCTTTAGATTGCGAATTTGGACACGAGATGAACACCATTGTGTTCAAGCCGACCTCTACATTCTGTAGACATGCCAAATGAGTGAATCTAGACACTTTCCATAAATAGCATTTGGGACCGAAATGAGACTAACACAAATGGCGTGATAGCGAGGGTGTTTAGCAGATATGGTAAGCTATTATCCGGCAATATTGAGGGACTAGTCTCAATACGCGAGGGTTCTTGCCAAGCCAGTGCAAGACAAAGCAAAAAAGAACTAAAAAGCCGGGCCAAGTATACTTGGCCAAATGGACACTTAGGAATTCCGTCCTTATGCTCATCCAACCAAGTACAGATGCTAAGTTCAGTTTACTAACACTTGGACAAGAGGGGCCAATAAAGGGAACCAACAGTACCGACCTCCTGCCGTCATGGCAGTAAGAAAAGAGTGTCCGTAAGGACTGGTCGACAAATATCTTTCGATACCCAAAGTCACATTCACGATAGATAGTACACAATTTGAATTCCATATCTTCCATGGTTTCCATGTTAAGTAAAGTTTTGAATCACTATATAGCCTAGCCAATATTCCACTTTTGACTTCTTGTATAGGATTGATTAGATCTTTTCTTACTAGAATATATTTTTCCTACTTCAATTTTTTTGAAAAGAGTGATTATATTCTTTAAAATTTTGATCTCTTTGTTCAACACTTCACTAGCATATTCAATAATATTGATCAAAAGTAAGTTTCCATTATTCTTGAGTGGCTATATTTAACTTCTATTTATGATATCTAATATTTCTTTAGCTTTATGAAGTTTTATTGGTGCTTCATTCAAGACCTCTAAAATCACACTTCTTCTGATGTAACTCACTATAAAAGATGCCTTTTTTATGTGGTTTTTTGCTACTTAGACTTCTTTTAGCCTTCTTAAATTTACATTTACTTCCTCTCTAGTTTTTATTTATTCAAACAAAATGAAGCAATATTTTGTTAAGGTAGATGTTTCAAATTTTGGTTTGGATATTATGTTGTTGCAAGAGGGACCAAATAGCAAAATTCACCTAATTGCTTTCCACTCTCAGAAATAAAAATTATAAAGATAAATTATGATGTCTTCAATAAGGACCTATTTGAAATTATAAACCCTTTTGAAGCTTAGCATCAGAATCTTGAAAATCTATCTTTATGAATTTCCTTACTAATATTCCACATTCTCAGGGATTT